CTTATATTTTCATTCCCTCAATTGGGTAAACTGCCTGGCTCTTTCTGTCATTTGTTCACTCTTACATATTGCAGCATCATCGGATAGCTAGCCTAAGGCAGGATATGGAAAATCTGGCCAGTGTATCAAATTTAAAAGGATGTATGCAAGTACAGCTAGAAGTCTAGACATAGGAACAAATACTGTTTTAGCTTTTGTCAAACTTTCAAGTTTTTAACTCTATGGTGTTTAATGTTAAATAAAACTGAATGGGCAAGAGGATGGCAGATAGAATATTATGTGGATAAGTGTGAGGTTCCCCACTTTTGTGGAACGAACAAAGGTATTTCTTAAATGGTGATCAACTGCAAAGTGTCCAAATGGACCTTGGTGTCCTTGTTCATAAGTACCTGAATGCAGGTGCAGCAAGGAATTTAGACAGAAAATATTTTCACAGGAAGATCTGTGCACAGGATCAAAAAGGTTTTGTTTCAAATGTTTAGAACAGTAGTGAGACCATATTTGGAGAGCTGTGTACGTTCTGGTCCAATTGTCAAAGGAAGGATATATTTGCTACCTAGCAGGTTCAGCGAATGTTCATGAGACTGATCCCTGGGATGGTAAGACTGTCCTTTGAGGAGACTGGTCTTGTATTCACTAGAGTTTAGAAGAATGAGAGATGATCTCACAGAAACATACAGAGTTCTTAAAGGGATAGACAGAGTTGATGCAGAAAGGATATTTCCACTGACTGAGGGGCCTAGATCCATGCAACACAGTCTCAGAATAAAAGGCAAGCCATTCGGACTGAGATGAGGAGGAACGTCTTCATTCAGATTTTTCCTTGGAATCCTCAATCCCAGAGGACTGTGGAACTTAATATTTAAAAGGTCAAAACAGAGATGAATAGATTTCTAATTACTGATGACATAGAAACAGCATGGGAATATGGTGTTGAGATGGATGATTAGCCATGATCTAGAATAGCCGAGGAAGTTCGAGGGGCTAAAAGGGCCTACTCCTGTTCCAGTTTCCTGTAAAAGAATTGTCAAGAAAATAAGTGAAACTTCCAATGTGAAGGAACTTAGCTGATTCTGTGCGCAAGCGAGGCCAAAAATGGTCTCATGGCTACATACGCTGGATACAAGGAGGATCTCTCTACTCTGTACTTGACAATGCTTTTCCCAGAAAACAGCAGTTTAGCATGACCAGCAGAAGGTAATAGCTTAGGGTCAATCTGTACTGCACCCATGTCACCTTGGAATAAACAAACTCCCAAGAGATTTAACACTTGTGGAATTTGCCAGAGTGAGGTCCCCTGACAATACCATGGATGACCTTAAATATGCATGCCTCTAAGTTTTGTCTGCCAACTTGTTCCACATTTACTGCTTGTTTGTGCCAAGCCCTTGCACAAACAGTCTTCCTTTGCTTCTTAGACAAGCCTGTTTCTCAGTCAGCCTGGAGTAAATCTGGACCTGGTTATGCAACAATTTGTCACTAGACATGTGTGCTACTTAGCATCTCAGGGGGATTTTTCTCAAGTTTTGAACAATTACATACAATCAATCTCTTTGTTAACCCTATTTTTCACTCTGTTCTATTCACCTGAAGGCATTCATTTCTTGTTGTAACTGCTGAGGTACCCACCACTGGGTTCTCTTGCAGAAGTGGCCATGTGTGAACCTTTGATGGGCTGTGTCGACTGACAAGTTGTCTACAGGAGCATCACTATCAAACTCAATCCTTTCCTTATCTCATGTTCATGTAGGCATCATGCATGCTGTTTGCCTCATATTCCTTCTTTCTCCTCTCCTTCAGCCATCTGCAATGGCTAAGATCAATTGTAACATTCTTGCTATTGATTGAGTAGATACGTTAGCAAACCTTAGGGACCAAACCACTGGTCCATAGTGAACTGTTACTTACTAAAGAAACTTAGAGTTTTTGGGGCACTCTTGGTTTGGTGTTATCTTGGGAACTTGGAGCCACCCAAAGTTACCTGTGGTATGTCATAACCTGCACATAACTCTTCATTACCTTTCAGCTCTTTACCTAGAAACATAGGAATAAGAGCAGGAGTAGGCCATTCAGTCCTTCAAGCCTGCTCCATCGTTCATTATGATCATGGCTGATCAGCCAACTCAGTAACCCTTCTCTCATTTTCTCCTCATAGTGTTTGATCTCTTCAGCACTAAGGACTATATCTGTCCCCTCCTAAGAAACATTGAATGATTTGGCCTCAACCACTTTATATGGCACAGAATTCCACAAGCTAGGTGAAGAAATTTCTCCTCATCTTAGTCCTAAATGGCCTACCAATATCCTTGAACTGTGACCCCTGGTTCTGGATGTTCTGGTCATCGGGAACATCCTTCCTGTGTTTACTCTGTATAGTGCTGATAGAATTTTATAAGTTTCTGTGAGATCCCTCCTCATTCTACTAAACCGCAGTGAATATAATCCTAACCAATCTAGTCTCTCTGTCAATCCTGCCATCCCAGGAATCAGTCTGGTAAACCTCTATTATACTCCCTCCATTGCTAAAACATGCTTCCTCAGGTAAAGAGACCAAAACTGTACACAATATTCCATGTGTGGTTTCACCAAGGCCCTGTACAATTGCAGAAAGGCGTCCCTGCTCCTGTACTCAAATCTTTTTGCTATAAAGTCCTACATACCATTTGCCTGCAGCTGGTGTAAAAGGACATGCAGGGCTCATTACACTCCCCCTATCCCAATCTATCACCAGCCGTTACAAAATAGAACCCAACAAAGAATTAATTCAAGGGCAGCTAATCCTAGTTTTGCGATGTGGCTACAACTGACTGATCTCAACCAATGGATAGAGATAGCTTTGTCCATGGACTTGGCATTCTGTTGCCCAGGAAACATAAGCAGATAAATGCAAGCAATGGGTGCCATGGAGCTCTCTGGTTCCCTGTGAATGGACTCTTCCATACTGTTCCATGGCTTCCACAGCAGCTACTTGCATTTATCAAATTGTTCTGCTGTTAAATGAAATGAACTCTTCCTGTGCTGCATTCTTTGTCCCATTTCCATTCACTACCATGAAGCCACTATTCAGTGCTGTGTCTGGAATATTGAACAAGTTCCTGTCCTAATGAGGTTGTTCCAAACTTTCAGGGTTTGTTTATTCAAGTTAGTTCATTTCGGATTACTTTCAGCTTTGTAGTTTGATCTGGAGGGTACGTCTTTGTGTATGGACTTGCAAACAGACCTAAAAGTTGTCTTCAGACGTGTTTTTACCATTTCAGAGTGTAAATTAGGATAGGTGAGTTCTATTGATATAAAACTGCAACTTGATCAAGTAATTTAAGAATCTACGTATGTAAAATATTAACCATTAAGTGTAAAAATAACACATCAGCATGTTTTCAAATATCATTTGACCACTATCTCCAGAACTTGTAAGATATGACAGTTGCAAATAAGGAGCTTGGTCATTTAAAAAAGCAGTTGGCAAATATTTAGTTTTTGCATGCTTGGATAGTAATGTACCAAACTACAGTTGCACGCTTTGGCTATATTGGGAGATTGCATGAGCGACATTCCTAACGAACACTCAATCTTGTTCAGGCCTTTGGAGTTGTGGGTGACAGGAGTTTTGGAGTGATGTGTGGGAGAGGTGGGGGCAAGGGTTGTTGAAATGAGTGGATAAATAATTTCAGCCTCTTATGGATTTCTTGAACAAGTATGTTTCACTCCAGGAACTGATGTTCTAATACATAAATAAAGCACCTTCATTGAAAGGCAAAGATAGTATCTAATTTCAATTATGATTTTATTTTATAAACAACATAATATTCTATCCCATCATTTCAGAATGAAAAAAAATCATATTTCAAATTTCAACTGATGTTAAATTTCTTCCAAATGCTTTTAAATCACAAAATAAGAAGGAACTGAATGATATTTGTATACATATGCAATAATTTGTTTATTCCTTATTTGAAATCCTAGTGACATCACACTGCTTATCTGCAAGGCTGCATGTTAGTTTTACTTAACACCTCACTTCAGCTTGCTCACTCCTCATCTTTCCAAAATCAACCCTATTCCAAAATTTTTTAGATATCAATTTTCACCTATTCTGTTTCAACTTTAGAACTGGTTCCTATTCCTAAGGATTTCAGCTCCTTATTTCCTCTCTCCTTATGGGTGTACTGCTCCAGGAAGGAGTCCTACACTCAGAATTTAGACATTTCAGTCCCTTTTTAGTATTGTTGCCTTTTGATTGTAGTAACTAGTGAACTGCATTGAGAACTTTATTCCCCTGTTTTGCCGTGCTAACTAAGTATGATGGATCGAGAGATTTTCTTCACAACAAATATGGCTGAATTTGTATGCAGTTGTGTTTTTATGCCTAGTTATATATAAAAAATCAATTTTGCTTTGCCATATAATTAAAATGAAAGAAATTAGTTTTGGAGGGTAGTCAGATTGGGTTTTCTCTAGTTCGCCATAGCAACTGAGTAATGTAATGAAGTCCAACCAGACACCATCCACAGTAAACAATGAATAAATGTCAGAAAAGTTTAGGTATAGTAACATCCTCAACAATGGATTTGTAGAAACAATCTTACAATTGTCAGCCATAAAAAATATTCCAGTTAATGTAAAAAAATTGTGTTGGATTTTTTGTTTTATTTTGCTTTTCTCAATTCCTTATGAAGATCACAAGTAGTGTTACTGGATATTTAGTAAGGTCTTACACGAGATTATTTATACAGTAGATTTGTGTATTGCAGATTAATTTACAACAAGTGCATTTTAAGACTTCCCCAGATGATCCCATGTTCAAATTTGCAACAAACCTTAAACTTAAGGCATTCAAACTGGGATTCCAGTACTCCAGTATCTTAAGGATTTCTCTGGGGATCATTTATTGATTAATATTTTCTGTATATTGAAAATAATACTTGCTCAATAATAATCCTGAACTGGTTCTGCACTGCCGCCATTGAATTTTAGGTAATTTGCAATGTTTTATTTTGCAGTTCTGTGAAGCAGTGAAGACTGTAATTCGGGACCAAAGGAGCGTTTTTGTCACTGCTGCTTTAGGACTTGCCGGGATTTTTTGCCTGGGTTTTGGGCCCTCCACCACTCTCCCTACAGTCCTCATACCATTCTTCCTATGGATGGCTGGCTAATTTATGCAGTGACTTGCAATGCAATGTAAATATGTGTTATAGCAGTCTAATTATGTACAAAGAGAAGCAATATGATTTATAAATATTCACCCATTTCAGTAAAAATTAATTTGTCCCTTTTGTGAGATGTAGCTCCATTAATACATAAAACAAAATTGGATTTGGCTTACTCATGTACTGAATAGACTCCTAAAATCAAATATTTTAATGAGACTTTCTTGCTTCATAACATTAAAGATATGCTATGTTTGAAATCTTGAATTTTTAAAAAATAATTTTATATTTTGACTATTCCTCTATGTTTTGTCTTTTACTTATACTAACTGTTCAGTTTTGGCCATATGGACATCATACTCCATGGATTGTATATCCAAATATGTATTTGGTCAGTGAACATTAATAGTTTTTTTTAAATGGCACTATAAATACTGTGGACAGTGGATCACATGATTTTCAGATTAAAAAAGCAAAATGGTTTTTAAAATCGACTCAGTTTAACTTTTATTTTGTCAGCACGTACAAGCGTTACTGCACTAAACGTCACAACTTCTAAATAGTCAATTTGCACATAAAGTAATCTCCAATTCATCACTAAAAATTTCATTTTTATGAACAAGGAGATGATTGTGCTGGAAAAGGAAATGATGCTAATCAATGATGGAGAGATTGTTCTTATTAGAAATGGACACTTATTCACCTACATTTCACTCAAAATGGCCAGTGTATTGTCTTTTAAACTCACACCAGAAATTGCTTGCAAATTTCTGGGAATCTATTGGTAACACTCTGGCTCCTGCGATTACTAAAACAATTAGGATTTTAATATCTGTGCCCTAAAATTATTTGCAATGAAACCAGCTTAAAATATACTGGAATCTTATGCCTTGTCTGGTTTGATTTATTCCAGGTAAATTTATTAAAAAATAGTTATGAATCCACTGAATCTTATGATGTCTTAATGACTTGGGTGGGGAAAGACTGAATATATTAAGATCTTCTAGAGTGAAGATTATATCCACAGGCCTTCCAATAGTAAGTTAGATATTACTAATAAAACTAATGTTACTTGTACCTGATTACCACCATGTGATAAATCACATTTTGTTTAAGACAAGGTCCTTTTCTCATTAAGATTCCTCACTAGTTGTTTTCTTCTACCTCTGTAAACCAAGTAGGACTTTAGACACAGTCAAGGAAAGAAGCAGCTGGCAGAAAATTACCCCAATCACAAGCTGGTTGTGGTTGACATCACCACACATACAACATGGCAGCAGTGATAGTTATCATTGGTTAAAATCACAAGGTAACAATGTGAGAATTCCAATGGATACAAAGCTGGGAATTCCAGTGTTGGGTGTTTACAGCTTTGAAATACCTTACAGTTGTAAGAATTACTTATACAGATATTTGGCAGCTTATGAATAAAAAACCCCAAAGACAAATACATGAATAGATGAAAAGAGTTTCAGCATTTAATGATAAAACCTTTTACGTAAGACCCGGTAAGAGTAGCACAAAAGCAAATGTGAGATAGGAACTAGTCACACATGGCAGATTCCGTTAGGGAGCAATGATCTGTAGGAGTCCTGATTAGAGTTTCAGTTAGGAAGAAAACTGATAATGGAGCTCTGAGTGTAAAGTTAAAAATCCCTGTTGGGCAAGGGAAAAAACTTTAAACAAACAGTGCAAAATGGACTAATGATAAAAAGGAGTCCGTGCAGCTTATGATGAGCTTGTATCCATAGCAAGTGGATGCTACAAGGTATGATTGCAGAATGGAAATCAAGAGCTATAGATATAAATTAAACTGAGGATACACCAAGGTCCTGTCACAAAGCCAGAATTTATGTGATAATAGAGCAACTGAAAAATCTGAGCAGACAGAGCCTCTCAGAAAAAGATTTTAAGGTGATTCTCGGTACCACAAGAGTGAGAGATCCATAATTTAAATTGTGGTTAAGGCATGAAGAATTTATTAAGTTCGCAGGTACCCCCAGAATATATTTGGGAAAGTGGACATTGTTTATGAATGGCAAGAAATCTTAATTTTTCTCACAAAGAGGCAACCCTCCATTTTCACTACAAATTACAGAATCCCACTGCCCCCAGAAAGCAGTACAGAGATACAGCCTTGCAATATTACAGAACTTAATGCTTTAATAAATGGAAAATAAAACAGTAATGCTATATTGAAGAGTAAGATCTAATTGGGGAAGTGAGTAAAAACAGCAGCAATACTGCAGAACTAAAAACTTTAAAGTATGGAGAATAAATAATAGCATTAAAAACAACTGGCAAAATAAATAATAATTGCTGGCAGACTTAAGTTCAGAGTTGGGTCAAATAGAAGAAGCAAATTACTGTAGATGCTGCAATCTGTGCTGGAAACAAAAATGCTGGAGATCGCAGCGGGTCAGGCAACATCCTTGGACAGAAAGCAAGCCAATGTTTTGAGTCTAGATGATTCTTCATCAGAGCTGACATCAAGAGTGGAGGGGGCAGCATTTATGCAGTAGTGGGCAGGGTGGAGTGCTGAGGGAGAAAGGGTGTTGGGATCAGAATGTGAGAATGACAGACCCAATGGTGTGTCTAACTGCCAGGCTGGAAAGGACAGATAGTCCCGCTGAAGTGGGGGGAGGGGAGAGAGGACATGGTGACAGAGAATGCTACATGAAAAAGGAAGGAATGGGAGTGGGTTCACAATCTGAAGGTGCTGAACTAAAAAATGGGGAGGCGATAGCCTAGTGGTATTATCACTGGACTGTAAATCCAGAGACTTAGATAACGTTCTGGGGACCTGGGTATGAATCCTGCCATGGCAGATGGTGGAATTTGAATTCAATAAATATCTGGAATTAAGAATCTGATGATAACTATCAGGAAAAAAAACCCCACCTGGCTCACTAACATCCTTTAGGGAAAGAAACTGCCATCCTTACCTGGCCTGGCCTGGCCTGGCCTACATGTGTCTCCAGACCCACAGCAATGTGATTGACTCTTATCTGCCCTCTGGGCAATTAGGGATGGGCAATAAATGCTGCCTAGCCAGCGACACCCTCATCTTGTGAACAAATAAAGAAAAAAAAATTCAATATTAAGCCCAGCAGGCTGTAAAATGCCCAGTTTGAAGAGCAGATGTTGTTCTTCCAGTTTGCACTGTGATTCACTGGAACACTACAGCATGCCAAGGACAGACAGGTGAGCATGCGAGCAGGACGCTGTGTTAAAATGACCAGCTACAGGAAGGTCGGGATCATGCTTGCGCACAGACCAAGAGGTGTTCTGCAAAGTGGTCACCCAGTCTGCGTTTGGTTTCTCCAATGTAGCGTAAGCCACATTGGGTGCAGTGAATACAACACACAGGATTGGAGGAGGTACAGGTGAAATTCTGCTTTAGCTGGAAAAGTTGTTTAGGCTCTTGGATGATGAGCAGGGAGGAGGTGAAGGGGCAGGTGTTGTACCTTCTGCGGTTTATGGGAAGGTGTCGTGGGAGGGGGTTGGCATAACCGGAACCCATGCGGATGCCCATAGCCACTCTTTTGACTTGGCAGAAGTGAGATTAATTAAAGAAGAAATTGTTCAGTGAGAGAACAATTTCAGATGGGTGTTGGTGGGGATTGTTCAGGCCTCAGGTCAAGGAAGAAGCCAAGAGCTCTCAGATCATCCTGGTGGGGGATGGACATATAGAGGAATTGGACATCCATGGTGAAGAGGAGACGGTTAGGGGCAGGGAGCTGGAAATTGTCAATATGGCGGAGGGCTTCAGAGGAATCGTGAATGTAAGTGGGCAGGGTCTAGACAAGTGGTGACATGATGGAGTCAAGGTTGGAGGAAATAAGCTCAGCGGGGCAGGAACAGGCTGATTCTTTTGGGTCAAATAGAATATAGATTTGGATACCTTGGAGAAAACAGCTATTAAAATACAGGATTGATTCCAATCTAGACACTAAATCACAACCTAAATCACAAGCTCAACAAATAAATACACTATTGCATTCAATAGGACTTACAGCTGAGGATATTCTAACTCATCAAGAATAATTAGAATTCTTGAAGGAACAAGACAACATAAAATGTCAAATTTATCTCTGGATAAATTTGTTAATGATTTCTACAGATTAGTGGAAACTTTCCCTACTCTGTAAAACTGCATTTCCCATGGCTAACTGAGCTACCATGCACATCCCTGGATACCATGGACAATTTAGCATGGCCAATCCACCTAACCTGCTCATCATTGAACTGGGAGGAAACTAGAGCACCCAGACGAAATCCACACAGACACAGGGAGAATGTGCAAACTCCACACAGCCCAAGGCTGGAATCTAACTGGGGTCCCTGGCGCTGTGAGGCACCAGTGCTAACCAATGAGCCACCATGCTACCGTTTTGTTAGATTTATAGCAATCAAAAGAAAACTTGACTTTGGAGAAAAATTATTCACATTGTACTTGAAACAGAAAGCAGGAAGAACCATGGAAGAATCCGGAGAGGAGTAGGACAACTTCTTCACAGGAGAGCAACAGAATCCATTCTGTTTATAAGGTCTAGAAATTTTAGGGACACACATGACAAGTCAACTCAAAGAGAGGGCCAGACTGTAAGTGGTAAGGGTAGAATTGTTCCTCTTCCTGTGGTGGCATGGGCAATGGTGAGAAAGTTAGGAAAATGCAGCAAGAGTGAAAGCATCAGAATCTCAGCACCAAACAGTTTTGTCATTTTTTCTCTGAAGCATTTAATGGTGAATTCAGACTTCAGACCAGAGGAGGTATCTGGTAGCTAAAGCTCACAGCATGCTCAATCCAGGGGTACCATCCTCCTCGAAATGTTGTCCATGCAAGACAGCATCAGCAAACCACCAGCTATACACATCACCACACCGACTCTCAGACCAATTGTCACACCAGTTCAGCTCTTAAACACTTGACTGTGGAGGTCAGGGAGACCTATGGCATGCACGTTTCTCCTAGATCACTTTGAAGGGCCTTATGCAAAGACACACACAATCTGGACAGGATGAAATTGATGGCTCTCAGTTTGCTTTCATCACACTCACTCATCTTGCACTTAATTGGAGAATGCCAGCCTTTTTGGCTTGCTTTTCATTTTAATGACTATGAAGAGGCAGGCGGTTAGTTATGGACATGAATACTGGAGAGTCAATGGCTCGAACATCTCAATGTATGGCACCATGTCAAAGTCACATTTGAAGCTTATGTGACAAACACACTGCATATGTTTTAAGAAAATGACATGTATGAAAATCAGAGTGGACTAATCCTTAGTGGGGGCTCAAGGGATACTATTGTCGGTCAGGGGGTACTGTCTCAGTAAAGAGGCTTGTTTGATTCCAGTCCAGGGGCTGACTATGATGTTTGGTGCGACCAGATTATTCTTGCAGCTCAGGGATGAGGCTATGGTCAGAATTGCA